CCCGCCGTTAGCGCTAGCTAAGGCCACGTTGATTTGATTATATGGATGACATCCTCTGGGAACCCCAAAACTGATGCGAGCGTACGAATTCCCCCCTACCCCCCAAAGTTGCCTTCATTATTAAATCTTGCAATTCTGACTGGTTCACATTGTACCGCAGCACACAGGTGTCGCTGTCATGCCCGTAGCCGGGGGAGGGGGGTTCACACATAAGAAAAAAGGTCCACTTTTTTGTGTAAAGGTCCAAGATTTTCTTTGAAAAGTGGACTGATTTGTATCACCAGCGGGAACTGGTGAAAACTGATCCCTTGTGTAAGCCTATATAATTTCTCCTTTGAAATCCTCCCAAAAATGCAGGAAATGTCATTTTAGAACTTCAATTTTCAAAATTTTCCGGGGGAGCATGGCCCGGACCCACCTAGGAAGCTCGTGCCTTCGGCACTCTTGTCCCCAGGAAGACCCCCCCCCCCAAAAAAAAATCCTGGCTACGGTCATGGTTACTATAAGATACGTTCCCAAACGTATACGTACGTACAATATTTACATATCTTCACATATACGCGGTTCCTTCCCCACCCTTTCCTAAACCTTCTCCCTGCTTGCCGTCTGTCACCTTCCTCAGAATTGCCCTGAGGAAGGTGACAGACGGTCACCGAAACGTCGGCTAAATAAATGACTTGGTTGTGTAGAAAGAGTCTCCTTTCTCAGCCCAGGTGTCGCTGCTATAGACACATTCCCAAACGTACAATATTTACATATCTACACACATACGCGGTTCCTTCCCCACCGTTTCCTAAACCTTCCCACCGCCGAAGGATTACCACGACGGAAGCTAGGGATGAAGCTAGCAGCACGTTCTGCGACAGAGCATTCGGCGCACCGTCGGGGTGGATTTTACGCTTATCGGAGAAAAGTCAACCTCGCCATTTTTCCAGGAAGAGCCGCCGGATAAAGGAAAAGGTCGATATAATTTCCTGGAACCGGTTAATAGTCATACCTCCTAGTCCGCTCTATCGGAAAGGTTAGAAGTCATACTGAAGCGCCGAATTTCTTTTAAGAAGAAGACAAAGTTTCAGAAAGTTTTGCATTACGAATAGTTTGACAGCAACGGTTTGGTGATATAACCTAAAGGTTAGAAGCCACACTGAAGCGCCGAATTTCTTTAAAGAAGAAGAAAAGTTTTAGAAAGTTCTGCATTACTTATAGTTTGACAGCAGCCGTTTGGTGATATAACCTAAAGGTTAGAAGTCACACTGAAGCGCCGTTTTTTTTAAGAAGAAGAAGTTTTAGAAAGTTTTGCGTTACGAATAGTTTGACAGCAACGGTTTGGTGATATAACCGAAGAAGTGAATTCTAAAGGTCAACATTTCACTATGGATGCTGAGTTATAATACACCTCCAAGCGTTTGCCTCCGCTCTACTTTAAAACATCGCAAAATACGGTATTGCATTGGACAGTGGGTATTGTGTGCGAGTTAATCATACATAGCAGCGTTGCCTGATGGCTGAAACAAACGATTTGGCTGGTTTCGTACACGTATTCAACACTTGTTTTTACAAAGATTAAACACAGTATGATATATGCTGATACACCACACAATTCACCATTAGGACAAAGCATCAACTAATACATCACGAAACCATCTGTATCTGTATAGCCGGTATAACCGCCCTTCGGCGTAACACACCAGCTTTGCAGGCACGCGGCGCAGCGGCAGCTAGCTATATCACGCCGAACGATTTGTTACACTCAATCTTTGCACATTTTATTGCAGGAGTTGTTTAATTTAAATCTTTCTAGTGATGATGCCCCAACTGTGCTTGGTGGCAACGAGTTCCAGTCTACGATAGTTCTGGGGAAATACGAGTTTTTGTACACCTCAATTCTTGGTTGATAACTCTGATATTTGAAGGAATGACTATTCAACACTTGTTTACACAGATTAAATAGAGTATGTGATAAATGCTGATACATCACACAATTCACCATTAGAATAAGAGCATCCGTAATCATTTACGAAGGTAAATTTCTCCTCCAAGCGATTTTGCTGGTTCTGTATCTGTATCTGTATCGGTATAGCCGGTATAACCGACCTTCGGCGTAACACACCAGCTTCACACGTATTCAACACTTGTTTACACATATTAAACAGAGTATGATATATGTGGACACACCGCACAATTCACCATTAGAATAAAACCATCCGTAATCATTTGTGAGGGTAAATTCCTCCTCCTAATGCTAAAACCCGAGGTGCCTCTTCCTCCCATTTTGGGTTTATTACAGTCCTCACGCTGCTAACGGCTCGGGATGATTACGCCGGGTACAGCCTATAAGCCCGCGCGGAGCGGACGTAATTGCTACACTGTGCGGGGTAAGGCACAGCCGCCGGCCGCATCTATTTTGATTAAGTTTCCGCCGTTATTTGAACCTAAACCGTTGTTGCATTCCGAAAAAAAACGTCTATTCATCCCGGATGAGATTTGAGTTACGCGACCGTCTTGGATATTCGACGTGTTTGGGATGGCTTGTATTCCCAAATGAGTCTTCAACAATGCCAGTTCTGGATAGCCAACTGTGTTTGGGATGGGGTGTATCCCAAATAGGTCTTCAGCAGGACCCATTTGGGATAGGCAACGGAGAGATGTCTATCAGACACCTTTCTCATATAACGGCGAGAAGCAGAATTCCAGTCAGAAGCTCTGAGGAAGGTGTCTGATAGACACTGAAACGTAAGCAAGGACATTACTGGTTATGTAAATCCCACAATCCTAGGTACATAGAAAGTCACAATCTTCCCAATCAACCTCTGCTTGGACAGTAACTCATGTTGACTGTGATGCGTACAACTAACTGTGTCCCACGTACAGTCTTTACGTTGGGACTATCTCCAATTACATTGTACCTCGCTTGAGCTACTGGTTGTGTAAAAGAATATCCTAGGTACATAGAAGGTCACAATCTTTCCAAAGAACCTCTGCTTGGAGAGTAACTCAACTATGATACAACTACTAACAGTGGTATCTCACATTTCTCGCACGTACGGTGTTTACGTTGGGACTATCTCCAATTACCGCGCCTGAGCTGCGCCCAACACGCCGGCTGTCAGCGGCCCGCCCGTTCCCCTTCCCGCCTCCCGCCTCTCGGGTTCAAGAGTGGAAAATTAAGAGGAAGTGCTCGCTCAATTACAGCTGATTGAGAGCCGTTGCTGCATACCAAAACATGAGTATTCATCCCAGACAAGCTCCATGTCTCGTTTGGGATTGATTTGGATGGCGTGTATCCCAAATTCTGGATAGCCAACTAGTGTGTTTGGGATGGCGTGTATCCCAAATAAATAGGTCTTCAACAATATCTATTCTGGATAGCCAATGGAGTATTTGGGATGGGATGTATCCCAAATGGGTCTTCAGCAGGACCTATTCGGGATAGCTAAACGTGTGGCTTGTATCCCAAACCGATCGCCAACAGCGCCCATTCGAGATGTCTCCCGCCTCTCGGGTTCAGGAGTGGAAAATTAAGAGGAAGTGCGCGGGCAATTACAGCTGATTGAAGTGCCATTACGGCTCTTATTCCGCGTCTGGGCGATCCGACACGCGCTCCATCCTGAAAGGCACCTAGCGCAAATTTCAGGACGAAAAAAACCTAAAAGAATAAAAAATGTAAAAAAATGAAAAACAAAAACATAGAAAATATGAAAAATATGAAAATATGAAAAATAAAATATAAGAAAATAGAAAATGAAAAATTAGTAAAAAATAGTAAAAATAGTAAAAATAGTAAAAATAGTAAAAAATAGTAAAAATAATAAAAAAGTAAAAAAAGTAAAAAAAT